GTACAAATACTCCAAATTCATAAATAAGATTCGTTTAGTGACTTTTCATGATAGGAAATAAGTTGAGGTATAATCTACAATAGCCATAGGCATAATGCTATAATATCCAGAGGTGGCATTTATATATTTAATCACTCTCCGTTTTGATGAAAATCAGATTTTTTTCTAGATTTTGATTGAACTTGGTGGAACGTGTGATTGAAAAGTGGTAGATCTCAAGAAATGTATGATAAAAATTAATTGTGAACTTTAACTTAAATTTTAATATATCTTTTTGGTCATCTCAAACAAGATCTTAATATTCTATCTGTTACATGTCAATATAAAGTCTCCATTTCAAAATGATTCAAGGCTTCCATTTTAACCCTGCAATCGAATACTGTAAAATCGGAACAATATAGGGCAGATTATTATGCCCTTTTAAGAAGATGACACAAACAAATTTAGAAACTATCAAAATTTACATAGAAATCAACCGAGCTATATATAGGTATTCAATATTTGAAATTGAAGATGTCGTCAGTATTTTGCTCGTGTGTATAGATTTTTAAATCACTTTTATTCACACATTCAATTGAACTCTTATGCAGTACCCAAGTATCCATCACTCATTTATATATATTTATGAACAAATAGTTTATAAACGTACTTTCCAACATGATGCACCAGCACTTTTATCATAATAATTAACTTCCTAGTTAAAGCAGGATCTTTTACCTACTTTTAAAATCAAATAAAATAAATCTAAATTATTGCACTGTAGAAATGAATTACAATGCCTAGAAAGATATGAGAACATGTAGGGGGGATCCAGCACCTGGCTTGTTTTTCAACAACACAAATGGCTGCCAAATCTGAAATGACCTTAATTCTGGGATTACAAATCAAAAGATTTGTGGCAAAATATACATCATACACATCTGCGCATTAACCCAATGTCGATATGTAAAATTTGTAATCTGATAACTGTTAAGAAATATAGGATTATTTATTATCTATTAAGGGTAGAATAGTCCTTTTTAGTTTCCTTTGTTTAACCTATATATATTCTCTTTGTATTGAAGTTAAACTATCTTTTAGTATTCAATTAATTACGTAGTATCAATGAAACCCTAGTCTCCTCCTTTTTCTTCTTTATTTTTTTTGGATTGTTTAACATGGTATCAAAGCCAGATTTCATGGGACAAAACTTAATCTCAAACACAACTTTCGCGGGTGAGTTGGCTAGGGGTTTGTAGGGGGCAGAGCGCCCCTGTCGGGGTTCGGGGCGAAGCCCCGAAAATTATTTATGGTATTTCTGCAATCTATTAAATCTGGTATTTCTGCAATCTGTTATTTTTTTTATTATGGCTACTGAAAGAGACGATTTGCTTCAGTCTGTGAGTGTGAGGTTGGATGGAAAGAATTATTCGCATTGGAGTTATGTGATGAGAAATTTTCTTAAGGGTAAAAAGATGTGGGGATTTATTTTGTGTGATTCTCTTATTTCTTGGAAAAACAAGAAACAATCTATTGTTTCTCAATCTTCCACCGAAGCAGAATATCGTGCTATGGCATCTACTACTAAAGAGATTGTTTGGTTACGTTGGTTACTTGCAGATATGGAAGTTTTTCTTTCTCATCCCACTCCTATGTATTGCGACAACCAAAGTTCTATTCAGATTGCTCACAACTCAATTTTTCATGAACGAACTAAGAACATTGAGATCGATTGTCATCTTACTGGTCATCATCTCAAGCATGGCACAATTACTTTGCCCTTTGTTTCTTCTTCTTTGCAGCTTGCAGATTTTTTCACCAAGTCTCATTCTATTTCTCGTTTTCATTTTCTAGTTGCCAAACTCTCAATACTTGTAGCTGCCGCATCGTGAGTTTGAGTGGAGATGTTAAGAAATATAGGATTATTTATTATCTATTAAGGGTAGAATAATTCTTTTTAGTTTCCTTTGTTTAGCCTATATATATTCTCTTTGTATTTAGGTTAAACTATCTTTTAGCATTCAATTAATTACGTAGTATCAATGAAACCCTAGCCTCCTCCTTTTTCTTCTTTATTTTCTTTGGATTGTTTAACAATAACTACCAACCGTGGTTACATTCTCATGTCATGATAATTTATCATTCACATTATAATATAAATCCGTTCCCTCTTGTGAAAATTTCCTTTTGGCTTCCTCCACAAAATTGTGATAACTAATATTATAGAAGATAATTAATAAAAATATCTTAGCTTTTACATGTGTAGTATGTGTTAACATTTTCCCTAAAAATCCGTACGTTGACTGAAAACGAGTATTACTATTTATTTCCTAGTAGAGACTCGCGCAAACTAGTATATCAATACCATTGTGCATTGCAATTTTCTGTCTGCTCTAATCTCTGTGTCTCCCTTCTTCATCGTCTTCCTTAAAGATGCCTGATATTTTGTATATTTTACCATTTGTTTTCACCTCGACTGTGATGTTTTTGTTGATTCAATATCTGCTTGAAAAAGAGGCAGAAAAGATATGCAGAATCGGAACAAAATGAGCTGCCAGTCGTAAACCGTCAACCGTCGCTGCCGCCGCTGCCACCATCATCACCAACTTCATTTCAGCATTTTTTTTATTCAAGTAAGGTATATATAATCAGATTTATTTTTTTACACAAGTTGGTGATGATGGTGGCAGTTGACGGTTTACGACTGGCAGCTCATTTTGTTCCGATTCTGCATATCTATTCTGCCTCTTTTTCAAGAAGATATTGAATCAACAAAAACATCACAGTCAAGGTGAAAACAAATGGTAAAATGTAC